TATACTATAATTAATACTGAGAAACTGATTAACTGTTAACTGAACCTGATACTGACAATGACAATGTATGCTACTTTTGAGAATTTACTTCAACAAGAAGGACAATCTGTAATAGTATTGGACAAACATTGATCGTCCAGATGAGTGATTTGTTTAGGTAATGCTGGAGGAGGCAGGACAGGATCACTCATCTCAATATCCGGTGAAGGCACCATAGCAGAATCAGTTGTCACAATGTCCAGTGAAGGGACCATAGCAGTAGTCTCATTAGACTTCAGTGCATCCTCTGCTGGAGTCAATTCATGTACAGTGGTGTCCAGCACAGGCATGGGAGTAGATTCAATCATTAAAGTATCCGGATCATCCTGATCAACATCCATTGCAGTATCAGGTAAATCAAGTGTAGCTTGGACACCAGGTGCTGAAAAGAACGAAGACACAGACGACGACGACGAAGGCTTCGACTCAGAGAAGTTACGGGGAACTTTCTCAGCAGACTTGAAGGGAAACGCAAATTCATCGAACTTTACATTATTACTAACAACAACTGTACCGGAGNCAAGATCAAAGATACGGTACGCATGTTGGGTAGATGCGTGAAACACAGGATGATATTCACTACCACTTTATAAGAGAGCACATTATTCAGAATGAAATTAAGCTATGTCAAATTGACACCAATTACCAGATTGCAGACATACTAACTAAGGGATTGAATAAGGTAAAGTTCAGAGATCTTCGTGGGTTAGCTGGAATGACGAATATTAGGATTAAGGGGAGGTAATGAAATATTTAGTAATAAAATATTTAGTGNGCATACGATTTATTTGCGAAAATGCAAACTGGTTGCAAATTCAAATAAGATACTTGATTGGGTTAAGAAGTTGAATGTTACCAATGAATATTCCCATTCTGAGATAGATGGGATGACCTATGAACTAAGAAATAAATTGATTAAACTATTCATTACTGGTTTGAGTAATGAACTTTAATTATCCTGAGAAAATTAATTACTATTAATGGTAAAGAGCCTAATTAAGTAATCCCAATATTCTACTATATAAGAACGTCAATCTGAAAGATATTCAGATTGTATTTTAGAGAGTAAGTAATATATATTTGATATTATTGAATATTGATTATTGTGTTAAACTGTTATATTGTGTAAAAATCTTAAAAAGATAAAAATGAATACTGAAATGAGTTTCCCCTTTAAAGAAATTACTTCCAGAATTTTAATCTTGATAGCCTATTTATTAACCCATTTCTCTTAAACTAGAAATACTAAAGAGGAGCAATTCACTTGTTAGCTTGAATAATTATTTTTACAACTAGATTGCATTTATTGATATTAGACAATTTTATGAGAAGTGAGGATTTTATGAGAAATTATATAAAGAAGCTGCAACTTATCTTCCTATACATATTCCAGTAAAACTGTAATACCGTTTTAAGAGGTCTTTGGACCTCTTAAATATAGAGAATATTTAGAGATTAAGTAAATATAATGAACACTGATAAACTTGATTTAACTGAACCTGAACCTCAACTTATTGCTGACAATGTACGCTACTTTTTAGTTTAACGAAATTTTTCTTAAATTCATTGCATGCTCATTAACTATTTCAATATCTGCTTTAACAAATGAACGTTCCACTTCAATAAAGTGTTGTAATGAATTGAAAAATATTGAATTCTAAATCGACTTCGCTTTATATAAAGATACTTTACAGTGTTGTTGATGCAGGAATATTCAAAAATTTAGAAGTGAACATAAGAAATGTGATATATATATATATATATATATATATATATAAATTTCGATCTTAATTTTCATCATCACTGTCGTCATCTTTATAGCCATGCTTTCGAATTTCTCCCAATCTCTTTCTTGCAGAGTTCAACATATTTTCTAATTTCAATATCTCAACCTGTTGTTCCATTTCAACAGTCTTACCCTCATAAGGTGTTAGCTTGCTTAAATCAATGTCATTTTTTGTATTTTCATCATCAGACAAAAACTGTTGAACCTTCGCAACTAAAAGTTTACAAGCGTTAGATACTTTGCTAGATGCTACTTCCAAATTATCCTGGGTATGCGATACAAAGTTTGCTTTAACCCGAGATGCGGCAACTAATTGGGCGGTTGAAGCTGCAACTTCGTTTGAAGCTACAATCAACTGTTCATGAGAATTTTTTTCTTTAAGAACACCATCTGCAGTTTGAATTAACACATTGGTGGCTCCAGCAATTGCCTTAGATGCACTTATTAAACCTTCAGTCCATCTATTATTTTTCTTGTAGAATTCTGTACGTGATTGGGAACCCTTTCCTTTACTAACAATTTCTCTTTGTGATTCAGTAGCCGCTTGGATCAATAACGCAACTGCATTTGTGACTGCCATTGCAGCAGATAATAAAGTTTCGTGAATTTCGAAGTTACCATTTTTTATATTTGGATTTTGTAAAAGGTCCTTCAAAAATTTTGAAGCAAGATCAACGGTATTCGCAGTCTGTTCCATTTCATTTTTAACTAAATCTTCCAAATTTCCCAGAGTGAAGTTAATTCCATGAGTGGATCTTAATGTATCAACAAAATTACCTAATAATTGTAGATCGTTCTGTACTTGTAGATTACAGTCGATTACTTTATCTATTTTTCCATCTTCATCTTCAACTTTACTCAAGGAATCGGAACTCAAATTAAAGAAAAATGCTTCAGTACTAACTAACACATTAGACACATATTTTAAGATACTATCCTCATCATCTTTAGAAAGACTTCTAGAAATACCCTTCGCATTTAGCATTAAGTCATTAACCGCTGTGGTTAATTCAGAGCCTTTTAAAATGATACCGGAATAGCTTGAGTTATCGTCATTGTAACTATGCTTTTCATCAACAATGAAAGTATTAAACGTAGTTGCAAAATCTGTAGCCATGTCGGAGCTGATTTCTACAATGGATAATAAATGTTCCGGTGAAGAATTAAGGTTTCCTGCTTGCATAGGAGACGCAAGTTCATATTTAGTATCTTGAATTCTTTTGATATTGTTAGCCAAGAGTATATCAACCAATTTTCTAAGTTTACTAATATTGCTAATTATAATATGATCTATTTGAGCATTAACAATATCCTCTTGGTCATTCTTTGAAATTGCAAGTTCCCTCAATGCACCATCTAAAGATTCTTGAGCAATCTCTAAGTCCATTTCTTTCTCTTTCAATTTTTCTTGCAAGTTATTGTTACCTAAATTACTCAAGTCTTTATCTCTGTCTGATAATTGTTTCTTTAATTGGTCCATTTCATTTTGATGTTTAGAAATTATGGAAGACAAATTTAAAGATTGTAACTTACCTGATTCGTTCACTTGACTATTTAATTCTCTTAATTCCGCCTGAAGCTTTTCAATATCCTGATCTTTTGTCGCTTTAACTCTGTCCAAGTCTAGTCTTGCCCTATCACGCTCACGAATCAAGTCAGCCAATTCAATATTTTTGGCCTTTAAGTCCTTCTCAAACTTCTCTTTCTTCATAATAGATTCTTGAGCACTATTTATCTTTTGCTGGATTTTTTTAAATTTTGCTAATAGATTTAGATGTTCTTGGCGCAATTGTGAATATAATTTAGCTAATGATTCATATTTTTTGGTCCAATTATTGATTTGTTGTTCCAAATTAGTTATTTGCTCATCTTTTGATGAAACTTGCTGAGTAGCAGTACTATTCAAGTTCATCAACTCGGTTTCTAAGTTCTTAACACGAGTGTCATATTGTTGTAATAGTTGTTGATCATTATCATATTGATTCTTGAACATTAATAAATCATGTTCTAATTCAGTGACACGAGATTGATGTTGCTGAGTCTGTTGCTGTTGCAAAAGTTGTTGCTCTTCTAAGAAACGTCTCTCCTGTTGACGCTGCTGTTCTTCAAAAATACGTTGCTGCTGCATTTGGTCTTGCATTTGTTGTTGACGTTTTAATTCTAAATCTCTTTGAACTTGCTGTTGCTCCTGTTGTTGCTGGTCAAAAATCCCAGTTTGTTGGAGGAATATCAGATCAACCGGCGGTGGAGCTTCAGCAGGCGGTTCATAAGACGAAGTAGGTTGAGAAGATAATTGAGGTGTACTTTCAACTGTTTCAGACCTTGGTCTTGATGGAGTAACTGGCCTGCCATCATCAGTTACTTGCAAGTTAGGAGGATTGTTTGATAACCGTGGGATTGTGACCAAACTAGTTAAAAACTTAATGGCATGACAATCGGTATAAAAATCCCGAAGCATAAAATGCTGAGAATCAAACCTCTCAAAGAGAACAGACAATGCTTCGTCTGCTCCTAACTGTTGATACATAGCTCTCAACATTGATGTACAAAATTTATAAATCCCATATGATTCTGCAATCAAAGGAACCAAAGCACTGACTTTACACAAATTTTTTGGTGTTTTATGAATTGTCAGAAAAATTAATAATTGTAAATCCTTAATCAGATCTTGTAAATCCATTAATTGTAAAATCGATTCGTAACCTTCATTCGGGTCATTGACTGCTCTCAATGAAATATACTCTTCGTATTCAAAAATCCCATTGAATCCTGGGTTATTTCTATGGAAGTCTAACTTCTCTAAGATGAACCTATCATATTGATTGATCAATCTTCCATACGAAAGACCGTCATTAGGAAAAACAGTACTTAATGATGATAAAAAGTCTCTATTACGGTACGCATCCTTTAAGGTATTAGGATGTCCTTCTTGTAGGACTTTGTGTATCATAATCAAAGCCTTGAATAATTGAACTTCATCACTTTGTAAAGGTTGAATTTTCACAGCATTCCAAAAAGCACGAGAGTTCTTATGATCCCAAGTGTACACGATACATGCTCTAACATGTTTTCTCTTTGGCGGAACTTCATCTGTACTACATGCCTTCTTGACACTAACTTGTAAGTCAACTTCAGCACGACTCATTCTAATAGATGGTTCTTCAAATCTTGAATTCTTTCGATAACAATTTATTTGTTTGATTTTAGGGGCTGGGCGGAACTTCAAAAGAACAATTTTGGTGTACAATCATGCGCACGTGACAAAATGGTTTCTGATTATATCTTATTACCCTATAGCTAGAGAGAATTATATGTGATCAACCAATCTTGATGCTACAAAAGTAAGTTGATTGATAAGGAATGAACCAGAGTGGTTACTATAAAGGAAAGAAAAGGAAATTAGCAAAATTAGCTGTAATAATAGCATCCTCCTTGAACAGATCTAGGACCTGGATCTATACTTAGTCTTTCCAAAGTCAAATGGTAAATATTTATACTTAACCATGTGCTGGATTTGTTTTCTCATAGTTAACGCAAATAAAATAACGAAATACATCAATAATATTGGCCAGAAAACTGGGATATCAAAAATAGTAAAAAAAGATAAGAACAATGATAATGTGGTAGCTCTTATAGCATTATACCAGAATTTGAATTCGGGCAATCTTCTGATAAATGGCTTGAATTCCTCGTCTTCTGGTTCATCTTCTGGTAAACCTTCTTCAATTGATTCATTTTTCATTTCCTGTTCCAAAGAAGGATCAAACTTAGGCGTTAAAAACGCTAAGAACAAGTTCAATAAATAAATACCCAATGCATAACATATAATATACCAGCCTTGGACGTAGACAATACGAAGGAAAAATAATGCAAACACAACACCAAATCCAACCCATCTATTGAAAGTGTACGGAACTGATTGATCCACATACTTTTGGTACGTTACTCCAAGTTTAACATATTCTTGGTAAGCAGGATTACCCTGGATTTGCTTTGAAGAGAAATCAATTGCCATATTAATCTGAAATATGATCAAGTGGTCTAGTTGTTTTGATAATTACTTCCTTCTGAAAAAAAAAATCAATTTGGATCGCGCAATTTTGTGTATATTACGTACAGAACTACTACGTGTACAATATGAAGAAGTTGAAATGATATAATCATACGAATAAAGACATTGTCAATCAAATATATTATTGAGAATTATATACAAGTAATAAAATTAAGCTGATCTAAGACATTCAAGCAAGTGATTTATCTAAACCTGTTTGCCCAATGTAGGCTTCTTTAGTCCTACCTATTACCTTGATCTGTTTAGTTTCTTCATCAAAGATTCTAGTTACAATGACCCCCTTAGGTGGCTTTTTTGGATCTACATCTTCCACAACAGTCTCTTTAACTGTGGTTGGCAAAACACTTGGTAAGAAACGGTCCTTTAAATAAGATTGTTGAGACAAATTATAGATACCTGGAGTCATAATTAAATCAAAAATGGTCTCTTTATCCTTTTCGCTAATTACTCTATTGGAGAATTCATTTTCTAATTTACTTAATATCTCATCTTGGTTCTCTTTTTTGGCTTCAGGGGTAACATATGTACATGGATTACCTTGTGCATCTATGGTTACCTTTTTATCGAGGTTTTCAGCAAACTGTATGTAATGCATTTTCAAACTTGAAAATTCCTCCGAAGTGATTTCTCCTCTCTTGCAGGATAATTTCAAATCGAAAACATAATTGTACGTAGATTGTGCTTCCGCATCTTCCAAAGCTTGACCCACTTTGGTTAATTGAGAGATGTTCAACAATCTATTTAATGCTAATTGGAAATCAGCCTCGCTCAAATCTAAATTAAATTGAGACGATAAAGCGTTTCTGAAAGCCGAAGCCCTTTGTTCTTCTTGTTGATGTTTTTCTTGTCTGATTCTTTCTAATTCGGGCTGTTGTAAAAATTCTTTTCTTGACATATGATTTTCTTCTTTTTCGGCTTCAGCTGGATCCGTTATCTTTTCATAACCAAATCTTCTAACTCTAGGGGAGAAATGGGGAGTTGGTAAATTTAAGTCCTTTCTTAACGCAATACCAACGTATTTTCTTAATGGATGGAATGGATCATAATAGAAACGGACATAACCAGGTTCTATAGCAAAAATAGTATGATCTTTACCGATATCAACATTTTCACCAGGATGTATTTTAGTACCTCTTTGTCTCATAATAATTTGACCAGGCTTAACAAAATGACCTTCATAGGCTTTAGGACCTAATCTTCTACCAGCAGAATCATTCTTATTGGTCTTCGAACCTGCAGCTCTTTTTGTTGCAGTACGAACTTGAATTACATTATTCAAGAACGAAGTTTGAAAGATGCTAGAGCTATAATCATTAGGGCGTATCAATTTACCCACCTGTTTTATAAACGACATCTTTTATGAATGTATGTTGTAAGCTATATACCTAGTTGAAACTTTTCAGTTAGCAGACGATGAAAAAATTCAAAAACTCTCATGCTCATAATTATCCTAGTTGCGATACACGCGTAAACGTTAGTACACCAATTTAAATTATGGAAAATATGATTCTTCGGACTAGCTACTAAAGACCGTAGGATATGTGTATATTTTCTTCGTTCAATGTTAACATGTATCACTTTGAGTAAACCAGCTGAAAATTACCGTGCTTTTCCTCATAGAACTTAGTTAAACAATGTTAAGAGACATAAATCAGCAAAAAATTGCGCAAACCCGGAATCGAACCGGGGGCCCAACGATGGCAACGTTGGATTTTACCACTAAACCATTTGCGCTAGAAAGAAATGCTCCGCGACGGGGAATTGAACCCCGGTCTACCATGCGACAAACGGTAATTCTAGCCACTAAACTATCACGGACTTTATTGAAGTTTGTAAGAGATCACATATACATATACTTAATGTATATGTATAGTATTACAAAAGTTATACATCATGGTTGCAAAAGTTGGTGTATAAATAGAAGTGATTATTCCCTGAGTCTGGATAGACGAAAGGAAGTAAGGAAATTAGGAACTAATTATAGGTAGTTAAAGTTAGTTAGTTAGCTAAGAATAAAGTAAGTAAGTTCTATTTGGTCTATTAGAACATATATATAATATACAGATTATAAGTATAAGTAATTACCTTATTAGTACCC